AAAAACGTGTTATAAGCTATCTTACCAAATGCACTTTTTCTATTTAAGCAATATTATGTGGGTGAAACCATTCTTGGATGAAATCATAAGCCCTTATTGATGGTTAGGTGCATTATTGAGCACAAGATAATAGATTTGGGAGTATCTTTCGGAATAATGTGACTGCCTCCTTTTTGTTAGCAGAAGCTCACTCACATGACTGAGCTTCAATATGGATTGTCATGCTTATGGTGATCTTTAAATCTAATAAACCAGCCACGTGAAATCCTTTCTACAAATGTAGAAAGCAACTCACAGACCCCCTGCTGTACAGTTTGGTTTATGAACTTTTGTAGAACTGTGATTAACAAGGTTTTGCTTGTTTTGAGCATCCACAGTCAGTCAATTGGTCTAGCCAGAAGCATAGTCTACCTACCCCATTCAGTAGGATTTGTTCCTACATCACCATACTTAGGACTACAGCTGAGGAATCATTTAAATGATACCTCCTCATTTAATCATTTATTGATTTCTGGCCTACATATTGTATGACTTAGCTTTGAAAGATTAAAGAAAAACCCTTCTACCCTTGTCTGTTATTCTTTGAATCAATTATTGATTCACATCTAAATATTGAAATTTAGAATATTCAGAGCCGCTATATTTCTGCGTTGGTTTTAGGCTGTTTAGTTTTCTAGCTCTTTCTGGCCTGTGATAGCTTACAGTTTTATCCTTGAACTCCCAATAATTTTATCATAAACTATGATAAACTATGGTACAAAGACCTGTGTTTCTAACTGATGGCTTAATTGTTTATTTAACATCCTATAAGGATTTTTTTTTCAGAAATGAAATTGCTAGAAAGGTTTTGCTGATGCCCCAGTTTCTCCAAATAATGAAGAGAAGGATCTTTGGGGAAACACCCCTCCACACACAATTAACTTGTAAAGGCTAATAACATTACAAATTACTAGAAATTGTTTTGGTTTTGTAATCAAATTGATTGTATAATCATTTTGCGAAAATAATAGTTAAATTTAGCTCCAAATCCATGAGAGATAATAAATCAGCAAGCTGGCATGCTAATATATATAGGACACCTCAAGCCTCCAGAAGCATTTTCTCAGAAACACTTGAAATAAATGTTGTGTCTAGGACAAATATATAGCATTCAAATTCCTACATTATCTCCCTCTTAACTGCTGAGGTTGGCAATTTTCACTTGGCATTGCTTGGAGTAGGATTAATCCTAACATCACATGAAGTGGCACAATCATTGTGAACAGTTCTTGTTCATTAAAAATAGAGATATTTTAGCCAATCTCCTAATATGAACAGCTCCACTGAGTGGAGAAAAAAAACAAAAAAAAGTTTCTGGGTTTCACTATTTCAAACAGTTTGGACTGCAATGAAGAAATAGCATGCCTTTTTTCTAACAAGGTCAGACAAACTAGATACCAACACATAGAATGGAGGGGTAGGGCTTGCTCAGGTGCTTTGCTAGTCAAAATAAACTTCTGTCCCATGGGAACCAAGGTCATCTACTGCTCCCGAGAGCAGGGACTGGGCCTTGTATAAAAAAGCCTGCCAAGTGAATATATTGGGGAATGTAGTTGATTGCATAGTTTTGTGGGTGGGACATTAAACTTTGTAATTGTCAGAACCATGACACTAGATCAATTGGGCTTTTTCTATTATAGATGATTAATTGGCTACAGCCATTCCCGTCAGGCTGCAGCAGTAGAAAAGATGGAAGGAAGCATCATGTCTTCTCTTGAACTATTTTCATTGCGGCTGGTCATCAGAAGAGCTAAGTCAATTTACTTAGTCTCAGATGTGACCACTAAAAAATGGAAGAGTGTGAATGTGGCATCTCTTTTCAACACTAAGAAGTTGGACCTTTTCCTAAGAACATGCTGTCCACGACATCTTTTTGGCATACTGTTTGTTTTTTGAATAAAGGGATAAACAAGTCAAATATTTAAATATTTTAGAATCATAGAGCCAGAAGGGCTACTCAGAGCACTAAGTTCAACCTCCTGTTCAGTACAAAATCCAAATGAAAGGAGCCCAGAGAAATGTCTATCTAGATTCTGCTTAAACACAGTCAATGAAGGGGAAACCACTATTTCTGTGGGTAATTGGTTCCATGGTCATATAACTCAGATTTGTTTCTTAGGGCACAAGCAATAAAAAGGCTTTCCCCCCTCTTCTTATACTTTCCTTAACCTCAGAGGTTAACCAAGTGCAAACCCTTCACTCTGAGGGAACATTTATTAGGGATTTCCTCTTAAATACTTCTGGTCAATTCTTTTTAGTTTTCCCTGAATTAAACCTAAACTGAACCCATCTTGAAAAGACAAGAGTAATTCCTACATTTCAAGCAAGACCTCTGGAAATTCAATAGAAAAATACTACAGGTAGTCTCAACTTAGGACCACAATTGAGCCCAAACCTTTTCTTGCTAAGTGAGGCAGTTGTTAAGGGAGTCTTGCTCCATTTTTACAATCTTTCTTGCCACAGTTATTAAGGGAATCACTGCAGTTGTTAAGTTAGTAACATGGTTGTTAAATGAATCTGGCTTCCCCATTGACTTTGGTTGTCAGAAGGTTGTCAAAAGTGATCACATGACCCCATAACTATGAGTCAGTCGCCAAGCGACTGCATTTTGATTATGTGACCATAGGGATGCTGCAACTGTCATAAGTGTGAAAAATAGTTGTAAGTCATTTGTTTCAGTGCTGTTGTAACTTTGAATGGTCACTAAATGAACTGTTGTAGGTTGAGGACTACCTCTGGTCAGTTTGACATAGGGCAACCTATAAACGTTGCAAGCAAACAAGCCAAAGAATAAATCTAATGATGGTTTCCGGTTTGCAATCGCGGCGCTGCCGGATGCGCAAGAAAAGCACTCTCTCCCTGTCCGGTTTCCCTTCATCAGAAGACCCTGAAAGTCGCCCTGGAGGGGCAATCACCGCTGAGGAGGACCCTCTATAGATGGTGGAAGGGTGGCATCCCTTCCGTTTGATCTGAGACAGCTCCTCTGGACCGATGAAAAAAGATCGGCCATTAACATGGCCGATTACTAAGCCATACCAGCCGAAAGCCAAAGTACTATCAAGCACAACGAAAGCAAGGCGGAGGAATCAGGTGAGACCTTACCTTACCTTTCTTGCATCCCAACTATTTTCCTGTAAAAGCCTTTGGAAATTTCTTCCCCCTCTTTAACTTGGCGGCTTCTGCCTACTCTGGGAATATAAAACTATGGAAAAAAAGAACAACTAAACTAAATGACTAAATAATTGGACTTGTAACTTTTGAACATTTGGGGTCCCAAAAGCTTCCTATTCTTACAGGGACTTATTGCCTTACCTATCTGCTAAGCTGGGGAAAAAAACAGAATATTTATTTTAAAACTAAAAACTTAACTTGAGTTTGGGAAAAGACTTTACATGTTACTGGGGACATCTTGTGGCAAAATGTGGTACAGCAAGTGAATTTCTTTTTGACTGGGAGATCTGTGAGACTAAGATTTGGCCTTGGCACTATAAAAAACGATAAGAACTTGAAACAGCTGGGTGGTGAAAACAATTTTTTATAGTGGAGGTGGACATTTATTGACTTTTATTAAAATAGCCTCCACTAAAGGACTATCTGTAAACACCACAGAAATGGAGGAATACTAGCCATAACTACAAACTTATACTTGAAAAAATCCTTGAAGCCACTGAGCTAATGAATTCCAGACTGAAAGATAAAGGTGCCACCTTAAAGCTACAAAATGCAGCCCAGATTTCAACTGAGGAATTTATAATTCAAAAGGCTACAGAAGAGGAAGGAATTAACATTAAAGAGGACTTTAATGAATACCAGCTACATCCTACTGAGATCCCCGACAATCAAACCTTAACTATAAAATCTGCAATGCCAACAGTAACAGAAACTGAAGAAACCAACACTAAGGTGGAAGGTGCTGAAGATCTACATGAGCAGCACACTGAGAATCTAAATAACCCAGACAACCAAACAACAACTACAACACTGAACATGACTTTTTACTTAAACCAGCTGAAATCAGAAGAAGAAGACAACCAGACTGAACTGATGACAAATATACTAAGCCAAATATGGAGATTTGAATTATTAGCCCAACAATCTAATGATTATGAAGGGGCCAGTTCCCTGGAAAAATTGATAATTGGATGATCTCCCTTGATTCAAATGACATGTGTAGGAATGAAGGGAGATCCAACTGAGGATTTAAGGCACTGCTATGGAAACCTGCTTGGCACAAAATGAAAGCTAGAGTTAGACTTAAAAAATGGGATTTTTTTATGTGACCTATAATGGAAGAGCTTAAAATCTTACTTAATGGGCTGAGGAGATTTTAAAAGACACTAGCTGATTTAATATTTAGGATCTAGACCTATAAGGGAAATAAAAAATAGTTACTAGAATAATAGTTTTGAATTATAATATAGAAGTTGGATTGAGACGATAAAGGTTATTTTATTAGTAAATGATAAGGTATTAGGATGAGAAGCAGAATGTGTTTGTGAAACAAAGTAAGAATTTATCTGAGTAAATAATAAGTGTATTTTAGACATGACAGCTATTTTGTAATGAACTAAGGGAACTTTGGGCTACCCGAAATTTAAATACTATGGATATTAAGCTAACTGGAATACTGTAATTGAAATTAAGTAAAATTTAAAAAAAGGACATGAAGGCGTATAAGTTAAAATATATTGATAAATGTCTTAATGGATTGAATTATAACTAGCAATGTATTAATTTGAATGTGATATAATAACTAAAGGAAATAGAGAGGAAATTTTTGATGATGTAACCTGACATATGTATGAAAGAGCTTGTTATTGGATTATGGATTACCCAATCACCATGTTGCTTCCTTAACACTTGGAGTTTTGTAAATTGAAAATTAATAAAATTTGTTTTTTTAAAAAAGAATAAATCAAATGATGCACTGACACATATAATTGCAATGACTTCATGCCTACCTAGTGCAAGTGCCACCATTGCGGCATGGATGATAGTCACAAACCGGAACGTTACAGTTGTCAATGTTCTGTCCTTCCAACGCCTCCTCTATAATGAAGAGTTCTTGGGTGTTGACTTGGAACTCTCTGATGCAGCCTCTGAAGCCATAAATCTGTCCAGAACTTGGATGAATGTTTATGCGATGAGAAGGGACATTTCCAAGAAATATGGACCCAAAGGTAACCTAAAAAAGATCATCCAGATAAAAGTTCCGATAAGAACGGCTGTCATTGTATACTGTTTTCTGTTCATATAAGAAAATCTGAGAGAAGAACCCCAGTCAAGTAAATTGCTCCTGTCTATGGGATTGTTTCATATTGTAGTCCTCTGCAGGGTGGTATATTCCAGAATTGTAAAGACAGGCCACCCTCCCTTTTAGTTCTGAATCTATCTGGCAAGGTGTCAGAAAATACAGACATAAGTATATTACGATTCTTCGGTCAATTCTTTTAAGAAGTTTTCTTCTCTGTTTAAAGCAACTGAAAAGAAAAGTTCAGCAGGCCTGGTCCAGACTTTTGCCCATTCCAGGCTTTTCTGCTGTGTGGTATTATAATAATAATAATGATAGTTAAATTAATATGCTGTTTGACTCAGAATGGTTTGGGCAGGAAAAGCATGGGGAGCCGAGGTTTGGCCTCATCCCAAAAGCTTTTTTTTTTTTTTTTAAAGTGGAGTCCGGTCCATTTTCTGCATAAGTCTGAAAATGTCAAGTGGATAAAAGCATTATATAACCTGACTGTTCTAAACAACAATGAGAAAAGAAGCAGCAGATATTCCAAAGCATTCGAAGTAGAAAATTAGCAGCAAAGAGCTTTACTTTTACCTAAAAGCCCCATGACAAGTCACTTATTAAAGAACTTGAGTACCATATAAATAAAAAGAAAATAACTAGGATTACATAAGACTTTGTCCAGGAAAGGAGGGGCAGTTAGAGCTGAATCTACTTACCAAATTAGCAGCTATATTAATAAACAAAGCCCTACACTTTCTGGGCAGCCAAACTCCAAAAAACAATGACACAGCAACAAAATTAACTTTGCCTATGGAGATCCTCAGTTATTCTGGTCATAGTTTTCCCAAGTATGCTTTTTCAAAAGGCAACTGGACTTTCTTTGTTTTTCCTTGAAGACTTTTCATTTCTTTTCCAAGAAGCTTCTTTAGTTCTGAAGAAGAATTAAAGAAGCTTCTTGGATGTGAAGTGAAACATCTTCAAAGAAAAACAAAGTCCAATTGCCTCTTGAAAAAGCACCTTTGGGAAAACTAACTTTGAGTTTCCTTAATTTTTTTGTGTCCTAAATAGGATAGCCTAATCAACTAATATTTAAGTCTTTATGAGCTAGGCAGATATAAATAAACTAAATAAACAAATTTCATTAATTGTTTGCTTCTATGTTTATTTAACATAAAGCATAACAATTGCTCCTTAATAATGTTTTTTTTTCTTCTTTTGCTAGCTTTTTTTGGGGTAGGGGAAATTATTATAGAAACCACTGAGTGTGAGATAGGGATGATAGGAATTTCATCTTAACATGTATGGAATTATCTACATTGCAAAAAGGTGTCACTCTTTATGCACACACTCATCATTGTGCTATATGTTCCCGTTGTTCATAAATGAATTGCTTTGCGTAAGCTATCCATCAACTGTCTTGGCTGAACATAAAGATTCAGTAGCTCCTTAAAACAACCACTAGGGAGTTCTCCCATAAAAGCCCCACTGAAATTAAACTAGAGCAAGAACCATATTGTTCACAGCAGTGGGAAACGCAGGAGAATTTCCCCCCCAGTTGACTGCATCTTAAATGAATATCATTATTAATGTGCCTCAACTAATTCAAAACTGTGTCACAGACGCTTTGTAAGAGATATTAAAATAGATGTGCTAACATTTGATTTTAGGTTCTGCTTGGCAAGTTCACCTGAGTCATTTGCGCCGGCAGAGAGAGCCTCTGATGGACAGAAGAAATTTCATTTGCAGCCATTTCAATCACACAATAACCTTCAGGACTGCCAGAAGACAACATATAGCTGGAAAGAAACAGAACTCATTACTGTTTGAGAAGTTAACAGGAAAGACTATGAAAACATGCCGCCAACATGAGTGGTATGTTTATTCTGGAAGTCAGGCCTGATTCTGGTAGCTGGCATTCCACACACATCAACACCTATAAAAGAACACAGAGTGGTTAGCAGATAGATAGCCCAGAAGATGACAGCTCAGTTGACTTAGTCTATGAACCAGAGCCAATGCTTGGGGCTACATGTATTGCATTGCAATGGCAGTATGTATTTAATTGCCGGAAGATTTATTACTCACCTTTTATCAAAGGACTGAAGAATGGCTACAATCAATCAATCAAAACTCTGAAATGACTGGAAAACAAAGCCACATAGCAAGGCAACATGAGCTTGGGTTTAAAATGAAGGGGAGCAGATGGAAAGGCCAAAGAGAATAACTGATCACGCAAGCACCTTCTCCCTGTAACCTCCTTGGCTCACACACATTTACCAATGGTACACTACAAGCCCAGAAGAAAATAGGAAATTTATTTATTTATTTATTTGTTTGTTTGTCTGTTCGTTCATTCATTCATTCATTCATTCATTCATTCATTCATTCATTCATTCTATTTCTATAGCCGCCCATCTCAGCAAATGACTCCGGGTGGCCCACAATTAAAAAAAAATGCAGGATAACCCAGCTGAAATGATAGTGAACTAGACAAAGAGACATTTCCTTCCTTTATGTACTGGGGAAAGAGCAGGGCAATGCAGAATGAATGGCTATACCCCTGAGCATGAAGATTTCACTTGGATAAGGTTTATCCGAGCTCATGAAAGGTGCTATCAATGTATAATCTGCAAAGGAGTGTCAAACATCAAAGTTAAAGGCATTTGTAAACTAAATATCTGAAAATTCAATATTGTTAAGAATGTGAAGAGGGGAGTGTCAGTAAAAATGGTAAAGTGTGAATATGAGGGGGGATGGGAATGCTACATATATTCTCAACAACAACAAAAAATCCATCCCTAAAGGAGGGCTTTCCTGTAATTGTTCTTAGTTATTATTTTTCTGACAGAGGGAAAATCCCCAAGAGTGTTAATTATTATTTCAGGGGTTGATAAATGAGATACTATAATGCGCAAGCATTTAATTAAAAAGAGCCCTCAGATCAATGAAGGCATTCTTTCTCTCCATGCTTCTTTTGGAAATCCCATTTAACAGCTGAACCCCAATGATGAGTTCCTTGCAGGAATCCGTGGCGTGCTTTACGATCCCCATCCATCTTTGTGGAAAGAACCAATCTGCATGAGAATATTATTTCTCCATTCCCAATGAAATGAGGAGAAAGCCATTAAGGCCAGGACGATCCACAATCTCCTTGGATGTCTTGTCACCAAAATAAATCAAGGCACTGAACTAGTATTTTTTTTTTTGTATGTTAATATCAACATACATCCTATTTCTGGACTGTCACACACTGAATTTTGGAATCTTATTGCCTATTTTCCCTGTAGAGAATCAGAGGAACAATCTTCAGTACAATTCTCAATGTCCCTGTCTATGCGCATACAATGAAAAAATATTTATTTATTCAAATTATGTCATCCCTTCCCAATGACTCTGAGGAGTTAAAAACAATACAATAAACAAAAATGATAAGTAAAAAATGGCAAGAATGATAAACCAAACACAGATAGGGATAAAAAGAAAAAGTCACACAATCCAAAGGAGGCTTTACTCACCCTTGCCAAAGAGCTGGGCAAACAGCCAGGTCTTAAAGATTCCTTTTAAATAATAGGATGGAAGTTACTCAAATCTTAAGGGGGAAACTCATTCCAGAGAGCAGATGCTACTACAGGGGAAGCACATTAAAGGGTCCTGATGTTGTTTATTTGAAGGAACCTGAAGTACACCAACTCTGCCAGATCAAATCAGTCACACAGACACTATAGAAGACAGATGGTCCTTCAAGTAACCAGTCCCTATGCCATGTAAAGTCATGTAGGCTAATGACCAGCACCTTGAATCAGAAGCAAACTAGCAACTTTCAAACTGCTGGTTTAAAAAAGAGGTCAAAGAGGCCATCTACATTAAGACTGAATAGCCCTCTCTCATTGGGGAGGGGGGAATATGACATCACCTATCTTCTGTTTACAACACAGTCCTTTCAGCAGGTCCAAGAAGGTTCCACAACCATTTGCACTATTCAGGTGACTCTGAGGGCACAGATAAACCTCCAAGTGGCCTCAACAACTCCCAGAAAGAGTGCTAATGACCAGATGACTGCAAGGAATATAAATCCTTCCATCATCCACCATTCAGCCAGAACTGAAGATGAAAGGCAAAATGTCTTCAAAGAAAAACAGTTGACTTTTGAAAAAGCACCTTTAGAAAAACCATGAGCAAGATAACTGAGAATCTCCATAAATAAACTAGCAACTAATGCAGATCATGAACCAAAGGTATAAAATGGGCATGTTGAAGCATACCCATTAGTGTCTGTGCTCCTGCATTCTGGACCAGCAGTAGCTCCTGGATGGTTTTCAAGGTCATTCCCATGTAGAACACATTGCAGTAGTCAAGTCATGAGTTCAGCAGGATATGAGTGAGTATCAATGCCCCCCTCTCTAGAAAAGGGTGAAACTGGCACAGATGAAATTGTGCAAATTGTGCCACAGCTGCCAGCTGGATCAGCAGACGAAATAACAGTGGAGAAATAGTGAATTTGGCCACCCTTATCGCCACAAGGTAATCCCTAATATGAGCTCTTAAAGACTCACTTTAAGTTTCTTTCAACAGTGCTCCAGGTCTCTCTTCTGGAACTTCATCCCCCAGAGCTCCGTGGTCAACCAGTGTACAACTTGGATCAGTGTACAAGAAGACGCTGAATGGAAACAATAAAACCCAAGGGTCTGACAGCAGAAAATATCACTCCTCCCATTAGCTGGCAGACCATGGATTCCTGAACTGCTGGATTACACATTTAAATTAAACAAGTCCGTTCTTTAAAATGACACTTCCAGTATTTGAAATTCTAATTACGGTCCTCTGGCCCTTATCTGTCTTTTGCTTTTAGCCTTCTTTACCCAGGTTCCCTCAGAATGAAAAAAGGGTTGTGAATGTATCAATTCAATCCCATGTATTGCTCATAAGCCTAATACATACTTTCCAGGGCCTGCCAGTTATCTAATTTCCAATTTTTACTAGTTGATAAGATTAGAGGGAAGCATCAAATGATCAATTGAATTCAGTATAATTTTTTTTTAAAAAAGCGACCTTATGCCAAGAAAGATGACAAGTTACTTGGCAAAATGGCAAGTAGTATTTTCTTAGTTTTGAGCTTGTTTTGATGTTTCAAGGTGTTTCTGTGTTCCTAGTAAAAATGTCAGTTTTAATTTTCAGTTTTAATTTTCAGCTTTAATTTTAAAAAAAATCCAATAACATTGTTTTGCCTCCCTTTGGTGAAAACTGCAGAAAGATTGCCGAACATCACTTGATTTCACAGGCAGATTGAAAGCACTTTTTTTGTATATAATTTTTATTAAAACTTTTAAACAAGAAGATAAAAAGTCATATAAAAGAAGCAAGAAAAAAAGGAAGCACAGGGAAAGGAAGAAAAAAATTCCTTGTTATTTTTCTTCAATGTTTTTTTCTTTCCTTTCAAACTTGAAATCACTTCTGTTGGGATTCAGATATGTGAATAACCGGTTCTCTGTGTGGATGCTGCTTCCAGAAATCCATTCTGGACCTGGGCAACAAAAAAAATTATCTACCGGTTCTGCTGAAGTGGTACGAACGGCTGAATCCCACCACTGCAGCTAGGCCTTGACTTATGACCACAACTGAGACAGCATTCCTGTCATTAATCAAAGCAGTTGTTAATTGTGTCATGCCCAATTTTATGACCTTTTTGCCATGGTTGTTAAATGAATCACTGCAGTTGTTAAGTGTATCACGTGGTCTTTAAGCGAATCAGGTTTTTCCCTGTTTACTTTGCTTGTCAGAAGCTGGCTAGGAAGGTTGCAAATGGTGATCACATAATCCTAGGACACTGCAGCCATTGTGAATACATGCTGGATGCCAAGCAGCCGAATTGTGATCGTATGACCATGGGGATGCTGTGCTGGTTGTAAAGTGAGGACATTTTTCAGTGCTTTTATAACTTTGAACCATCACTAAATGAATGGTTGTATCTGCCATCAGCCAGCCTCTTGTTCCTCTGCTCTTCTACCAAAAGTTCACTTCTTAATTTCACCTGAGGGCAGGACAAAGAAGCAATGGGTGGAAGCTTGTTAAAGAGAGATCCAACCTGGAACGAAGAGAAATTTCCTGACAGGGCGAACAATTAGCTAATGGATAACAGCTTGTCTCCCAGTGTTCCATTGCTGGAGGTTTTCAAGAAAAAATTAGAGAACCATTTGTTTGGAATGGTATAAGGACTCCTGCAGAGATGGGTTTCAGCCAGTTCACATCACTTCGGCAGAACCGGTAGCTAATTTTTTGTTGCCCAGGCCCAGAATAGACTTCCGGAAGTGGCATCCACACAGAGAACCAGTTGTTCACATATTTGAATCCCACCACTGGACTCCTGCCTTGGGCAGCTGGTTGGACTACAAGACCTCCGAGCCCTACGAATCATAGATCTTTCTTAAGCTGTCTATGGCAGATCAGGATAGAATTGAGGAATGTCCAGTGTTTTCATTCTCCCCTCTCCATTCAGCCTGGTCTAAACATCCTACCAAGGAGGACTTTGGCTCCACAGGGCCTTCCTTCTAAGCTTGCATTCTTCAGTAGAGTTTCCTGGAATGCCCATGTAATCCTGCAGCATTATGTGATTACACAGACATTTCAGAAAGCACGCTTGAAAAGGAAGACTGAGCACATTTAGCACATTAATAAGCCAAATATTTAACATTACAAAAAAAAAAAATAACTATAGGGACACCGCACCTCAGAGCCGACTAGAATACTGCCCCACTAAAGTAGTAAGTAAAATAAAGCAGATTTGATTGATATGTCCACC